TCCCCGGCTCACATGTCCCTCTCCTTGCCTTTCAGGTTCGCAAGTTAGTTGCGCCCGGGCCTGTGATTGGGCTCCAGGCGCCGTCCACGGGCCTCCTCGGGGCGCGGCCCGGGCTGATCCCCCTGCAGCGCCGCCGGGAATGCCTCCGCCTCACCTGCAGCGCTTCCCTCTGATGCCGCCCCGCCCCATGCCGCCCCCACATGATGCACCGGGGCCCGCCGCCCGGACCAGGGGGCTTTCGGGATGCCCCCGCCCCCATGGAATGAAAGGCCCCTTTCCCCACCACACGGCTCCGGCCCCTTAGTGCGGCCCGGTGGCATGCCGGGGCTCGGGAACCCGGGGGGCCCTGAAGACAGAGACGGGAGGCAGCAGCAGCAGCAAGCCTGCCGCCAACGCAGCCCCAGCAGCCGCCGCCAGCCCAGCAGCAGCCCCCCACGCAGCAGCCGCAGCCGTTCAGGAATGACAGCCGGCAGCAGCAGTTCAGTTCAGGGAGAGACCAAGAGAGGTTTGGAAGGAGGTCCTTCGGAAATAGGGTGGACAGCGAGCGGGACCGCTACGGGAGCCGCGGCGACGAGAGGGAGAACAGCGGCCGGGAGAGGAGAGAGTGGGGACGGAGGAGCCCTGAGCGGGACAGACACAGAGACGCGGAGGACAGAGGCCGGCGGGCTGGCGGGCACCGCGACCGAGAGAGAGATTCGAGGGATAGAGAGTCCCGCAGAGAGAAGGAGGAGGCCCGGGCCAAGGAGAAGGCCGAGGGGGCCGACAGGGCCGCCGAGCCGCCCCCGACCCAGGCGGGGAGCGCAGACCCAGCCCCGGACCTCGCCAAGGGGGCGCCTGAGCCGGCGCCTGCCCCGCCTGCTGAAGAGCGGCCCGCAGAGGCTACCTCACCCGCAGACCCCGAGAAGGACCCCTCGGCGGCCGAGGCCCGCTAACCGCTGGCCACGCGGGACGGACGCTGGGGCACGGTGTACAGATGCTGTATCATACTGGCTCCCGCTGGCCGCCCCTGGTAGTGGTGGGGCGCTGTAAGCAATTTGATTGCTTCCCTTCTATTTAAAAATAGCCACAAAATAACAAAAAATACTGAAAATATGAATAAATATTACCCTTTTTGCTGTAACTTTTTTAAAGTTTTGACTTTAAAAAGTTTACAAATCGTAATTAGAAGTGCTCTCTATTTTTTTTTTTTTTAATTTAAGACAAGGTTAACAGTGAAAGCTCAACAATAGGGATGTTTTTAATAAACTCTATTTTCGTAACAAACCTTGACGTGTGCTGTTGTCCGTGCACTGCCCCCGGTGGGAAGGATGCTCACGAGTCTCAGCCGTCCGGCCTCCAGCCTGAGTCACTGCGGTGGAGACGGGCACGCGTGCTCGCGCTTCACTGGTGATGCTTTGACTGAGCGTTTTAATCCCAAGGTGCACAGTGGTGGTTTAATGCTTGCTTTGCAGTTCAATCAAGGTTTGCTGTTTCGTGTTTTTTGTTGTTTTGTTTTTGCCATTGGCTTTGCGGTAAAGGTTGCCCTAATTCATCTGTAAAGAGATGTTTTGCTGGGGAAACGGTGGGTCCAGCATCACGCTGGCCTCCACCATCCGAGTGCCTGGGCGTCCTTCCTGACAAGGTTGAGTGTTCGCTCACCACCATCCTGTTTTCAAAGGGGCTGAAATGAAGATGAACGTGTGTTCTGTATGTGTAAGGACTTGGATGCAGCCTGCGGTTGCCTATGAGCCTTGCCTTTCTCTACTGGTTTTGTGAACTCCTGTCTGGGCAGGGATGGACTGAACTTTTTGCCACCTATGAAGTACTTTTCTCTGTTAAAATTGTTAACTAGGAGAAACAGGTAGGTCATCCAGGAACGATCACACGGAGGCGTCAGGCCACATCGAAAGGACCTGTCCTGTTAGCAGCTCCGGCGCCAGAAGCCGCCCTGCGTGACAACGCCGGAGTTCCCAGCCTGGACGCGTTTCTCGTCACGTTTAAATTGGCGTGTCGGCGTGCTGAGCAGGTAACTTTCCGCGACACCACCACCCACCCACCCCCACCCCCTCAGGCAGAGCTGGCCCGGGCGTCCTGGTGCCCTGAGCGAGGCCGTGGTGATCCTGGGAGGGCCTCGGGCCGTGTGCCGCATCCCGTTGCTTCTGCAGACGTGAGCTCTGCACTCTCTCTGGGCTGGGCTTTATGCTGGCCACTGGGCTCACGTCCTTGCCAGCTGCTCTGGCAAGAGGTGGACGTCGGTTGCTTAGTTCCGACTTCCAGGCCTCGCAGCCTGTTTCCAGTTGGAAGCTTGAGACCAGCCGATTCACACACGACAACCCTCCCAAGTCCCAGTAGTGGTGGCGCGTCCACTCGAGGCCTTGGTCACGGAGTCCATGGGGTCCCGCCTGCATTTGTGAAACGGTTTCCATTCCCTGCCCGGCAGCAGGTGTGACCACTCATTTGAGCATGTTGTTCAGCACCTACTTTAGCTTTGAAAACGAATTGCCTTTTTTTGAATTAGCTTTTCCTCCTAAATGATCTACGTTTTCAAAGTACATCACATACTTAAAACCACTCAGAACTGTAGCTCATTTCTGTTTTGCTTCCACAAGTATTTTACAATGTTCAACTGAGAGACAGCTCGTCCAGGGAACCCGAGTTCCGTGGGCGTTTCCTTTAGGAGCTCGCGCTCACAGGAACGAAACTCACAGAGAGAAGCAGGTGAAGCCCCACCCGGCTCTTCAGAGGGCTCAACGCTGACTGCGCCGCTGCCACTTGTCCTGTCACCAGATGCTCACAGTACGTGACGTCGCCTCAGTGGGCAACCGAGCCGTAGCTGCCCTGCAGGTCACCGAGTTACAGGCTCAGCCACAGGACCCAGCTTTACAGTAAAGGTACTTGAAGTCCAATCAATGCTAAGCGGTGAGCAGGGGAAGCCCCACCTCCCGATGCTGCCAGGACGGCATCCCTGTCCCCGATCAAAGCCCATCAGGCTCTGCTCAGAGACCAGCTGTGAGCAGTCAGCGTGGGGTTCTCACGAGACGCCGAGACGTGTCCACTAGGGCTCGTGAGGACCAGCTAGTTCAGAGCCCACCTGGGCCGTCAGCGGGCTCCAGGCGCAGCGCTGTCCAGGGGGCCTGTTCATTACAGGTCTGAGGAAGAACACAAGGAACTTGGACAATTCAGCGGCAACACCCGCATGTGATTAAGTCTGGGAAATACAACCATCATTGGAACAGACATTTTAATGGAATGAGATGGACACAAGCATACAATCTTCCAGTGTCGTAAGTCACATTACAGGAACTTACAGCAGTTTTTCAAAAAAGACAAATTACACTTTGAAGGTTAGTGTTTAATGTTTATCGGTGAAACTTCTACAACTAGGAGACAACAGGCGTTCTGAGGACGCAGACGCGCCAGGGGACGTTCACTGGGTGATGCCGATGACCCCGCAGGCCAGGCGGCTCCCGGCGTTGCCCGTCTTCTTGCTTTCGTCATTCCCACCTTTGCCCAGGTCATCTCGCTTCTCGTGGACCTTGGAAGACATGGAGACCATGTAACAGGGCGATACGTAATCCCACCTCCCCCCCAACACCCAGACTTCTAAAGGCCGCTCAGCATTAGCAGGTAACACGTCACAGGAACTCTGGTAGAGAGAGACGAATGTGTAACCTGGTAATGGAAACGGCAGCTGCCCAGCTTTTTCTTGATGCAAAGACATCAGTTACCTCTAACGGATGAACCAGAGACCCGAGCCATCCCGCCGCAGCCACCAGTGCGGCCGGGCCCTCGGGGGGAGCTCCGTGCCCCAGCAGTCCCTCCTGTGCAGCATAAATTGCTTTGAAAAAGGAGGAGCTCACGTGAACCCCTTCAAAAAAAACCATCAGAACCCAGTGACTGTAGCCAAAAAATGAGAGGAATGAGAGGAACCCTTAAAACAGCTCAACCATCTGAAGGCCGGGCTCGAAGGTTCTCTCCTCAGACATCCAGACACTTCCTGCTTCTCACTGAGGCTGAGGAACGTCCCCAGGGCCACCACTGAGGTGACCACCGAGGCCGCTGTCCTCACGCTTGTACCTGGTGACCTGTGCGGGCCAGGCACTGCTTCCCAGGCTAAACACGGCTGACTATCCACACGCAGGCATGAATGAGGGCCACCCTGGGCCGGCCCGAGACTGACTGCTCCGACGGCAAGGGTCCCGGCCATGGCGACCGGCCACACGCCTGCATCCTCATCTCAGCACTGACCCCGGTGCTCCTTCCTCTTCCTGCAGCCTTTTCTCATCGGAGCCAAAGGTGCCGGTATGTGGTCCCTTAAGAACCAGGATTCGTCGTGAAAGATCCACGCCTGACCGTTAGGAGCCACTGGTTTTGTGGCATTTACCACGAAGCTGTGTGCACGTCCTTCCCACACAAACACTCACCACGAGTGTGCGGCCGATGATGGAATGGTCTCCCGAGAGCGCAATCACAGAGTCCTCAATGAGCACGTTGGCCACACCGTCCGGGCCCGCCTTCACGTTGCCCAGGTCCCCGACATGCCTAGCGTGGAGGAAGCATCAGAGTGGTTCAGGAACTGAGTGTGAACAGGGTCAGACACAGCGGAGATCAAACAGGAACCACTTAGCAGGCTCAGCTCTCTAAACAGGCATAAGCCCACCCTGGCCTGTTTGGCTCAGTAGGTAGAGCGTTGGACTGAGGGGTCCCAGGTTTGATTCCGGTCAAGGGCACATGCCTGTGTTGAGGGCTCAATCCCCAGTGGGGGACATGCAGGAGACAGCCAATCAATGATTCTCATCACTGATGTTTCTCTCTCTTCCTCTCCGAAATCAAAATAAAAATATCTATACTAATAAAAGGGTAATGCGCTAATTAGACCAGGAGACCTTCCAGACAAAAGCCATGGTGACAGGGCCGAGGCAGTTAGGGGTGATCAAGCCAGTGGGGGCAGGAAGGGGAGCAGTTGAGCAGTTAAGAGCCAGCGGTCCCAGATGGTGAGAGGGATGTCCGACTGCCAATTTAAATCGGCAGAGATCCCCGAGGGATCCCAGATTGGAGAGGGTGCAGGCTGGGCTGAGGGACACACCTCTCCCCCTGAAATTCGTGCACCGGGCCACTAGTATCTATATAAAAGCCTAAGCAACCGGCCGACTGGCTCGTAGCTATGATGAACACTGACCACCAGGGGGCAGATGCTCAACGCAGGAGCTGCCGAGTGACAGCAACTTTGCAAAGTGTCCTCTCGCACTCTGGGACCCCCTGGGGAGGATGTTGGACTGCTGGTTTCACCTGATCCCCGCAGGCCAGGCCGAGGGACCCCACCAGTGCACGAATTCGTGCACCAGGCCACTAGTTTTAAAATAATAATATGAAATAAAAACAAGCAGGCGTCAGCCCGAGGCGTCCTGGTGGGCACCTCTGCTCTCGGGCACTGACGGGACATTGCAGCTCCCAGGCCCGTGATGGCGAACCTATGACATGCGTGTCAGAGGTGACACGCGAACTCATTTTTGATTTTTCTTTGTTAAATGGCATTTAAATATATAAAATAAATATCAAAAATATAAGTCTTTGTTTTACTATGGTTGCAAATATCAAAAAATTTCTATATGTGACATGGCACCAGAGTTAAGTTAGGGTTTTTCAAAATGCTGAAACACAGAGCTCAAAAGGTTCGCCATCACTGGGTTAGATCCTGGGGCATTGTATTCAAAGAACACAGGAATCTTATGTACCCTTTTCTTACCCCAAGCTAAATTTAAATTTCTCTATATATTATGAAGTTTTGACATCTTAAAAAAATCTTTCTGGCTGGAGAGAGACTGCCCCTTCCAGGGGTAGCCAATGCCTGAAGCATGTCTTTGATATGCAAACTAACCAATCCAGAGCCATACCTCCCTGCTCTGGCCCATATATCCCAGGAGACTATATTCCTCTGCCTTAATCATTCCAGGGCCAGATGCC